CGATTTGTCAGCCGTTCGGAAGATTATTATTTATTCATATATTTTGGACGAGGTCCCGTTGTGCGCAGACGGTTTAGATATAGGAGAAAGGGAGAGAGAGAAAGAAAGAGAGAGAGCAGAAGAGTTATGGCTTTATGGCGTAAGATAATCAGTTTGAATAATGTATATGATTGATCGCCATTCTCGCAGCAGTGTTTGCTTCGTCCATTAAAAAAAAAATATATTCGATCGACTCTCGTAATCCAAATCATCATCCATACGCATTGACGGTTATAAGATGTTGAACCGCGTCTCCAAAAATGTATTGAAATACCGAAAAAGTAATTAATAATAAATGCACATGAGACATTTAATGAGATGTTTAAGAATATTGCGGTTTATTGTTCAAATCGTTCAATAATATTAAATAATAATGGTTTATAAATTGTACATTTTACGTACTCGTAAAAATTTATTGGTGATTTAAATGACATAAACCGTATAGACATCGTAAGATTGTTCTCTTTACGTCAACTTCAGAATCGAAAGCAACGAAACAGTCTAGGGCTACAAAATACTTCGCACTTCACAGTTTACAACTTTTTTTCTTCATTGAAGAAATTTGCTGATTATATATTTTATGTAATGTAAGTTCCTGAAAATCCTGCAAAATAATTGCAGTAAAAAAATATTAAATAATGCAGATAGCGTACGGATAATAAGAAAAGTACTTGATTCCAAAAATTAAAGTTTTTAAAAAATACCTTTTTTTGTTTTCTTCAGTTTTCATTATTATTTATTATTATTTTATTTTATTTTATTATATATAATTATATAATTTTAATAACTCATAAACGATTACAAAAACATTTTAAAATATTTGTATTTTTTTAAATTGATTGTTTGAACTTTGTAATTATTTTTATTATTATTATTATTATTTATTATTAGTTTTATTTATTTTTTTTATTATTTTTCACCGATGATATGTTAATAATCATAACTATACTCAAACGAATCGTACAAAATGAAACATGATTGTGTATTAAGTTTATCCAGTATTCATTGATAATAGTATAAATGATTATTTATTATTGTACAATATGAACAAGGCACGGTATTTCAATTTAGAGAAGCATCAACGCAACATATTTTCACATCGTTTATTTTATTATCTGATATTTAAATTGGTTTTTATATTGTATCGCAGAGGCACAATGTTGCAAAATAATTATGGTTATTTGAATATTGGGGATATAATATTAAAATAACTGTGTTATGAGCTTACTCAGATCATCATCTCCATTGACCTTTAGTTTTATTCTGTAGGATATTGTATAAAATAACGTTACATAAGTTATTTTTTCGGAGTTATTATTTATAGGATCAATATTTCGGGTTATCCTTTTGGCATCAATTGCAACGGTGTTCTACCGATCGTTTTTACTACTTGTTGCTTTGGTAAAAAGCAACATTTATTTAACATGGACATGAAATAATTTGGCGCTTTTACTGCATAATATTTTCCCTCCGACAGTGCAGTATTTATTTCTTTAACAGCGCATTCGTCTGCATTATGTAGTGTACTAAGGTGTATCGAATTCCAAAAGACTGCCGTCGATCAGTTCGTATACATTTTATATTATGAAACCTTTAAACGAAATACCTATACACGCGTATACTCGCGTCTCGTAAAGGTTTCACGTAAGGACTTGATTCTACTTAATTAATCGGCTAAATCTCTTGAACTGAAAACGTCCTGCGCTGTTGTAACTGCAGACGTAAGTAAATCGTAGAAATGTTTGAGTTTGAAATTCAAACAAATAAGTCAATGCGCCCTTCCGTCCTAAAGACACGTTTGGGGGAGCAGCTCTCACGATTATCGCTTGACGTTTGGAAAACTTCGCAAAGCGTATCGATTTCATCACTTTCAAACGTACTTCGGACGGACACCGCACCGCGAAGTCGGTAATATGATATGATACTACACGTGTACATTACATTAACATATATATCGCCGACCAGCAGCAGCAGAGTTTTGACCCGTTTCGCTTTAAAAAAAAAAAATAAAATAGCCCTTCAAGACGAACGCGTATTGTACACATGTGTGTTACACATCGTGCGCGCTTTTAAGCACACCCGACAGCTATATCGCCGTGACAACAGTCCTGGTTAGTCCGACGCGGTACACGTGGAAAAGGATAAACGAGCTGCGCAACGTTCGCGCGTCTGTTACGAAGGGACGGGCGAGAGGGTGGAAGTACCGCGTGGAGACGAGATGAGGTAAATAATAATTGCGAGAAACGCTCGGCCGTCACGTGCCGCTATATAATACACACAACGGAGCGCCGCAGTGTATGTAGGGCTTGCGCGTCGCGAGGATTAATTAAGACCGGAACCGCCGGCCGTAATCCATTATCGAGTCACTGAAACCCTTCTAAAGATTTATTGTTGTTTCTGTTGTTGTTGTTGTTGGTTTTGTTGTGATCAACACCCAGCAGACATGAAATCTGTAACCGGCACGCGACCGGGGAGATAAAAAACAGAAAAAGTAAAAAAGAAAAAGAAAAATAGCACTGCCTTTTTCCCCCGTCGGCACTTGTGTACTATTAACTATATTACGCGAGCGTGAACTTAACTAATTAGATTTGTTTAGCTTGTATTATAGTCCGTAAACGACATCTGATATGTTGTACGACTGCACTTCCAACACGCGTATCTTACTATTGACATTTCTAGACCGCGGAAAACGTTTCAACATCAAAACATAGACCGGTCACACTCGACAACCCAACGATGTCATCTTAATCAGGACGTTATTCGTCTAACGCGACAAAGATTTTGACGATAACATTTTCTATTTCGCCGCGGTAATTATCCCTCGAAATTTCGCTCTGATTATTTTTCTATTGTTTAAATGTTAGTAAACATTTTTCTCCGTTCCAAAAACATAATCACGAATGACTTAAAACGTGATAAGCTTTCGATAGTTTTTCGTGAACTTATGACATGTTGTTTTCGTTCAAATATTTTTGTAAACATCAGAAAAATTTATAAAAAGCCTAATTACGAAGTAACAAGAAGATAAGAGCACGAGCATTATGATGTGATTCGCACGATAAAATGTAATATTTTCGACATCCAACAATAGGTTTTCGGCGTAAAATTCGCCGTCGAGTAAAACGTTAGTTTTCACGATGTACACGACACACGTGCGCAGTAAAATATGAATGTAGTACTAGTAAAAACATAATATATTGACGAGCACTTAAATGCATTGCGGATGCAAGATTGACAGAATAAACGTACACGAATTCGATCCCAACGGATCGAGTACCTCCTCGTAAACCAATGTATTATAAAACATAATTTACGTTTTTCACTTTACGCAACGGTGAACAATCATTTTTGCTATATTTCATACAGGATTTTGTGTTTATTTCTGTTCCGGCCGTGCTGCTATGATACAATACGTAGTACGTATTACGTACATGTGTAATGTATTACAAACACGTTCGCGTTTCGTGTTCGTGGTAAAACAATGTTTACGCGAACCACTTGTAATAATAAGTCTATAATCGAATTATTTTCGTGAACTGTGAACAACAAACACGCTATGGAGTATTCGGTAAAATAAAAGGGCGTCGGGTGCGCGCACTTCCAATTTCCACGCGAATTCGGGCACTTCTCGCATACATGCTCTGCAGGAATCTCACGTCTGTTTTCCGCGATGTATCTGCTGTGCACGAATGTCTGCACCGCCGTGACACGGTCGTAGCTGGCTGTTGGTTTTTTGTCTTTCCTCGATGAGGTGGCCGGTGAAAGTTATAGAAAGTTAACAATTAGTTGACAGTCAAACAAAACGTATGTATGCAAAAGTGTGAATGTACATTTATATGTTGCTCGCACGATAAATCCCATCTACCAACGTTGGCCCGAAGGAACAGATAAACGAAAAAAACAATGTGAACACCGGTTGTGTGTAAGTTTCGGTGGTTAAAAAACGAAAAGGTCTTGCTTCAACGACGGTCACGAGCAGAAGTTATCGATCCGAGACGATCGGTCGATACAACGCCACCGGTTCCGATAACTTTTCCCACCTCTGCCTGGTTTCCCGAGGTAGAAGGGTAGGAGTATCGGAAACAGTGTCGTCGTTATCCGAGTTGTGGTAGAGAGCGGGCGCGATTCTACGATAGTGGTGTACCTACTCAATGTATGTTTGCATTACCACGGGACCGCGTCAATCGTGTGTACAGTGACGGTGCTAGAGTTTGCGAGGCCCTGGGCAAAATAAATTATGGGTCTTATAATTTATATTAATAAAATATTTTAAGTTCAGTTAAATCAGAACCACGGAGCCTTAATTATAATTTAAGACGTGGGGCCTGGGCAACTGTCCCTATTTCCCACCCCTTCACGCCGTCCCTGCATGTGTATATATACAAAGACCAATGGTACTCCTCCCGATCGTTTGAAATACCATATTATATGTTATTTGAGGTCGGTGAAAAAATTTAAAATTCTATAACATGTTAATATTCTATAACCATACAGGTACGGTCGAACGACCGAATAAGTGTGTAAAATAAAAATAAAAACATTGCCAGTTCCAAGCGGATTGTTTTAAATTTATCGTCTCGTCGATGTTTTGGGATTGAGACAAGAAAATCCTGGTAGATACTAATGTGTATTTTTTTTATCCGCAGGCCACCAGTGGATCAAGAACAATTTGGGAGTGAACGTCAAAACCGGATGGTCCGTGGACCCGTTCGGCCACGGTCCCACCGTACCGTATCTGCTGAAAAAATCTGAAGTGACGGGTGGAGCGGTCATCCAGCGTCTGCACTTCGCGTGGAAGGAATGGTTCGCGCGGACGCAAAACGGCGATTTCTTCTGGAGGCAAAACTGGGACTGGAGTGGGCACACCGACACTTTGGTGCACAACATGCCGTTCGCCATCTACTCGATCAGAGCGTCGTGCGGCCCTCACCCACAGGTACACACGCCCAGCCCCATAGCCATTTCCCTCGAAAAATCAGATACCGTTTTCCTGCGCCGTCCGTTCACGTCGGAAAAACGAAGAAACGATTAAAACAATTCGCGACCACTATCGTTCATTAAAAAAAAAATAAATAATAATTGCGATGCCTCGTAATATTGTAAACCTCGAACGATGTGAAACGAGTTTAAACCTGAAATTCAGTTTCCTTTTAAAAAAAAAGTTCATTTCTTTACCCTTTTAATGTTGATATTTAAATTGTAACCACAAGAACACGCAGTTTTAAGAATCGAACGACGATAACTTATTAGATTTTTGTACAGTCGATGGAAAAATACGTTTAATAAGAAATGGTACGGTATCGGATTTTCGACGGGAGAAATATTTATTATATTTCATTCGTGTATACTGACCGGTCATTCCTTGCGCGCGCGCGTTTTTAGGTGTGCTTGAACTACGACTTCCGGAAGGTGAAGAACGAGTTCACGGACTACTCGGAGCTGGCGGTGTTCATCGACGACGAGAACGTGAAGCAGAAGGCGGACGTGCTGATGGACCAGTACGGGCGCACCGGTTCCGTGTCGCCGTACAACGTGGCGCTGATACCGTTGGGTGACGATTTCCGTTACGACCATGACGTTGAGTGGGACCAGCAGTACACCAACTACAAGAAGCTGTTCGACTTCATCAACGCGAACAAGGACCGGTACCGCGGGGCCGAGGTGGGCTTCGGCACCCCGTCGGACTTCTTCCGGGCGCTGCGCGACCGGGCCGCGGGCCACTTCCCGTCGTTGCGCGGCGACTTCTTCGTGTACAGCGACGTGTTCTCAGACGGCCGGCCGGCCTACTGGAGCGGATACTACACGACCCGGCCGTACTGGAAAGTGCTGGACCGCGAGCTGGAGGCCAAGCTGCGGTCCACCGAGATGCTGTACACGTTCGCGCTGAACGACGGCCGACGTCATGGGCTGTCCACGGTCAAGCTGCTGGAGCACGACTACGAGAAGCTGATCAAGGCGCGGCAGCACCTGGCGCTGTTCCAGCACCATGACGCCATCACCGGTACGTCCAAGGCGGCCGTCATGACGGACTACGCCCTTAAGCTGTTCGAGGGCTTGCAGAACTGCGCATCGATCCAGAGCTACGCGGTCCAGAGCCTGCTGTCCAAGGCGGCTGACCGAGGCGCACCGTTAGCCGCAAAGGTGGTGGTGCCGGACAGCGACCGGCAGACGTACGACCAGCCCACGTACCGGTTGGCGCTGAACGTGGACGAGTCGCGGCCGCGCAACGTGATCGTGTTCAACCCGCACGGGCGCCGCCGCACCGAACCCATCAGGATACTGGTGTCGAACCCGAACGTGCGCGTGGTGGACAGCGCCGGGACCGCGGTCGAGCACCAGGTGAACCCGGTATGGAACGTGAGCGAGACCGCCGAACAACCGCTGGCCATGTCCAAGCTGTGCTTCGAGCTGCTGATCGTGGCCGTGCTGGAGCCGCTGAGCCTGACCACGTTCACGTTGCACAAGACGCCGCCGGAGCCGGAACGGCTGGCGCGGGTGTACTGCAAGAACTGCGCGGGTCACTCGGTGTTCACGGTCCGCCCGATGCGCCTTGGTGACGTGCAGTTGGAGAACGAGCACCTGCAGGTTGTGTTCGACGGCAAGACGGGGCTGATGAGCTCGGTGGTGGACAAGAGCACGGGCGTGTTGCAACACGTATCCATCGACTTCGCGGCGTACCAGTCGGCGCAGTTGCGCAGCGGCGCGTACCTGTTCATGCCGGACCCGAACCTCCGGGAGACGGAGAAGAAGGTACTGGACGACTACCCGGGACCGTCTACGGTGGTGGTCACGTCCGGTCCCCTGTCGTCCGAGATCACGGTCGTCTACGGGATCGTCACACACACAGTGCGGTTGTACCACGGCCGTGGCATAGAGAGCAAGGGTCTGTACGTGGAAAACGTGGTGGACTTCAAGAAGCCGCCCAAGAACCGGGAGACGGAGCTGTTTATGCGGCTGTCGTCGGGCATCAGCAACGGCGAGCCGGCCGTCATCTACACCGATTCCAACGGGTTCCAGATGCAAAAGCGCGTGACGGTGAAGCGGGTGGGCATCGAGGGCAACTACTACCCGGCCACGTCGACCGTGTACATCGAGGACGACAAGCACCGGCTGACGGTTCTGGTGAACCACGCGCAGGGCGTGGCCGGATGGGAACCGGGGCGCGTCGAGCTGATGCTAGACCGACGAACGCTGTACGACGACGCGCGCGGCATGGGCGAAGGCGTGGTGGACAACAAGCCGACGTTGACCAAGTACTGGATACTGCTGGAGTCGGTGACGAGCAGCGGCGGCGGTGGGCACCACAGGGACCACGTGTCCAACCCCAGCCTGGTGGCCAACATGCTGTCCGAGGGCCTGCTGTACCCGGCCAACGTGTTCGTCGTGGAACCGAACGCGGAGCACCTGCTGCGACCGACCGCCGCGTTCGCCAACACCGCGATGCCGTGCGACGTGCACCTGATGAACGTGCGCACCGCCACGGACCCGGTGTTCCAGCAATTCCCGTCGTCGTCCGCGCTCGTGGTGCTGCACCGCAAGGGCTACGACTGCCGCGTGGACACCGGCTACAGGATACCCGAGTGCCGGCTGCGGCGCGACAAGGGCGTGTTCGACCGGGGCACCGTGTTCGCCGGGTTCCGCGACCTGCGCGTGTCTAAGACCACCGTCACCGGTGTCCACCACCTGGACACCGTCGACCGTCTCGAACAGGTCGAGGTTTCTCCCATGGAGCTGTCTGTGCTCAACGTCACGTTTGTCGTTTGAACCACTACCGCCAACAACCTCTCTCGCTTTGTTACACGATACAACTATGCACCCTGTACACGTAAACGTTTCACGTCGCAATGCTGTGACCGGCGATCGATCCACGGAGGATTCGCCATCGATTTCGACCACAACGTCGATCGATTAATTAATGAAACATTCGAATTCAATGACCTAGTTCTAGGTCGCGCGGTTTGAAGTTTACCCGAAAACAATCAAAGCGTACGATTTCGAGCCGTGGTAAAGAGTTACTTTAAACGTGTCCGGGTCTACCCCTGGCCATAACTCGACCCGTCCGTCTTTCTCATCGGTAAACCTCGCAACGTCCAGTCTGGGATGCCCTCCACCACCCGGCCCCATACTCGTTACATAATACGGCGGTACAATAATCAAATATATACACGTTTACGGGTCAAGTCGTTGTTTCCGGTCAATTCCGTGCGTTATCGTCAATATCACCGTACGACCGCTGTATTTATAATCGAACACCGACTCGATTTGGAAATATTCAAGTTTTTTTATTTTCATTTCCACGGGGCCGCGGAAATCATCGTACGGTTATAATGATATGTATTCGTATCCTCCTCGTGAAAATCTGTATATCCGATAAAGTGACGCGCGCGCGAAATCTCCATTAAAACAACCGTACGCCAACGTGAAAGGTGTGATATAAAGTAATGTAAGTTAACTTCAATCGTGTACACTGTATTTTATTCTTGTACCAATATTATAGTTATATTGTATTATTGTGTTATAATCTTAATTTCGAATTTGTTGAAAAACATATTTAACAAAACTGTAAAATCAAACGCGACGCGCATGCTCGTTGTTGTTATATTATTTAATATCGTATCAATACGATAATACCTATAAAATATTAAATATTAGTAATGTTAATCGTTGTATTGCAATATTAATGCGTTTTCTTGGTATTGTATATTATTATCACTATTATTTTATTTTATTTTACTTTTTTGTACCTTTTTTGTAAGGATTACGGAATACTTAATATGTTTTTATTTCTAGTCAGATGTTTTGCACGAGTATCGATATTAAAAATTCGTACTGATTTCCACTTAAAACAATACCGTTGTTTGATTTTTATCCGGATATAACATTTTAGTTATAAAAATATATTATTATTATTATTATTATTATTATTATTATCATTATTATTATCATTGGAATTAAGCATTGTTTGATGTTTTATTTTAACTTTTTGTTTCGAGAATGGATGTGTTTTTTGTTTCAGTGTCCTGTACAAACAAGTAATTTTAAACTTCGTAGTGTATAAAGTCATAATATTATGTATGTTATTTTTATAAACATAAAATCAATGAATACCTATGTGTTAATGATAAAAACTGTACATTTATACATATATAGGCTGTAGAAATTGTGATATAAAATAAATGGATCGGTGTTCTATTATTAAAAAATAAATATAAATATTCATAAAGCAATGTCTGTATTATTTACATTTATACTTCAAGGCTTCTATGTACACTCACATAATCATCAGATCCATGTGAGAACAACCAACTTTGAACATGTGGATATTGTAATAAATAGTTTAAAACAGACACTGATGGAATCTTCAGCGCATAAGTAGTGCATTAGATTATTTCTAAAGACCGTGTCGTTCCCATACCAATATAGTACAAGCTTAACAAAATTCGTTCGCCATCAATATTGTAAAAGTCCGTCATCAGTGCGATGACATCAACATACGACCCAATGGCAATTACACTTCAAACATGGCTGCAGTATAGTAACTGGCAAAAATGAAAAAAACGAAAAAACAAACAGCAAACCGAGTACAATAAAATTGTACAAACAATTACTTCTTCATTGTTTCCTCTAAACTTAACTAAAACATTTCTACCGAGAAAAGCCGGATACTTCAGCTTGTTCGTTATAATTCAAGGATATTTTCACGTAGAACTAATGTGGATCTTAAGTGGCGCGGCAATTTGTAATTTTATTTTCCTTCGCTTTAAATTGTTTGTTTTATATTTTCATTTATTTAATTGTTTTAGTTTCAACTTTGTACTTCTAGTACAATGTCATTTGCGGTGTACTGTTTCGTGAATATGTTTTGATTTCTATTGCATGCGCATTGCATACGTATTAAATATATATATTGCTTATTCCCGATAAAATAGATTTCAAAATCAAATCAAATCATTCTTAACTTAATTAGTTTTTAAATAATAATTCTTTCACACTATTAGAGAAATGTGCAATTGTATTATTTTGTAAGATTAGTGTATTATTGGTTATACAATATCTTACTTAAAAACAAATAATTTTATACGTTAAGGGTACATATTTTTTTACAGTAACGACTGTAAGGTTATGAAAAGGATACGACCGAACATGGACATATATTTTAATGATTCTTTCATCTCGGTGGTGCCAAACCTAAATATTTTGGTAGTGGTTGGGTGGTCCAATCTCTAGTCGTTGGGTCGTCGATTTATTGCTTCTTGTCAATCATAAACAAACGCAGTTAATAATTACTCAGTATATACTAACAGTTGATACGTCTTATTTTTTTTAATGATATTTTTCGTGTAAGGCAAATATTATCAAGTTCTTAATCTATTCGTGGTTTGGTGGTGTCTCATCATTTTGTAAATACATCCCAACTGAATTTTTTAGTTACGACACCGCTGCTTCATCTCTATATTGAATTTTCTACGAAGAAATAGTCAGTAAGTGTTACATATATTTAAATGGTTCGAAAGCAATAATTTGGCGATTTTCTGACATATATCACATACCCAACGAGAAATAAATCCTTATATGAGGAAACTCAAAAAAGTTATACATTGATATTGATTACAATCTAGGGTGATCGAAGACGATGTCTATTTTAGTCGAAGGAATACTTTCATTTAAAGGTAAAAAAACTGCAACGTGATATAAATTGGTAATACTAATAGGCCTTGTCTGATATCTGCATGAAAACCTATATGAACATTTTATATAAATTATATTGGAGTATAAAACTCGTCATAAATGTTAGTATTTACTTTAAGGCTCTTCGTTTTTTTTTTTTTTTTTTTTTAAATTAATTAATATATTATATCTCAGTTTAAGTACAATCTTATAGGTCATTTTGACAACTCTATTTTTTTAGGTCTGTCTAGAATTTTTTCGTAGTTCTGGCTGATAAAGAACCAAGGAAGATAAGTGATAAGTGATAAAAAATAAATTAATGAAAACAGCTCCCGTATGCGTTGATTAAGTGAGACTACGAGGTTTTCACCCTTACTTAAAATATTTTTTTTAAAAATTGTTATCCAGAAACATAAAATACGTATAAGCCACTCTTACAAAATATTTGATAATACTATGCTGTTTCTTTAAATCCTTTGAATAAATCAATTTATTTTACTTTAAATAGTGATGAGTAAAATTAGTCTTGGTCTTGCAGTCTTGCAAATTTTATTATATTATTATTTTAAAAAAAATATTCCCAGAAGAACACATTTAGTGTATTTAGTGTTATTAATATAATAATAATGTAATATTACATTTAGCATACAACGCGACTTTCGGGTAAATAACGAATCGTCGAATTATTGAAAAAAAGATAATAAGCAATTAAATACAATATTCACTATAAAGTAGCATAAACTAACAAATAGCAATTACAGAAAAGTAATGACGGAACAGTTCAGATAATAGAACACTTTTTCGAGGAATACATGACGCAATATTTCCCAGGTGGGAAATAAGATTACACGAATTGGAAAGAGATGCTGTCTGATGACTGATTGAATTGAAAAAGAAGTGTTATCTTTATACCTGTTGTATTTATATTAACGATTTTTTTTTTTTTTTACTATTATATTATGTATTTTTAGCAATATAAGATAAACTTTATAATTACTGTAGTCACCTTAATATATACTTGAAAAATTTATTCATGTTTGTTAATTTGTTATATTATCTATTTGGATTAAAGCTATACGAATAAATAAATAAATTATATTTTATGTATTTATTACATGTGCTTTTTCTGCTTTCTCAAATAAAATTGTACATTATACAGTTATCAAATTATACTAACTCCTAGCCAAAATAAAGATTTTTAAGGTAAAAATGTTTTCCTTTAAATTTTAAATAACGCAAGAGTCTTTCAGGAAGACCAAGACTTCAAGTACAAGACTGAAATCAAGACTGGATCTGCAAGAACAAGACCAAAACCAAGACTGTCATAGTATTGATCTTGGTTTGCTCATTACCTGTTTCAGATTTTCGATGTATAATTAAATATATCAAAAAGAAATTAAAATAGACTTATACAATCTCCTTTAAACCACTGATCTCGTGGGTCCAAATACACTTTAGAAAATACAATTGAAAAATTGCAGTATATTATAATTGGGATAATAATAAGACAATATTGTATATGGTAGCCCGTTGATGCTCATGATGGACTACGATGAAACCACTCTAAATTTTAAAAACTTAACTCGTCGGCACTGCGTGCAGATAATTTTTTTTACTATTTTTATTGACGTGATATTTATGCAATTAATATTATCAAAAAACTCTTATGGATTAATTTCACTGGTAAAATCACATCGGCCACACTCGTAAACACATATACGGACTGCTTATAGTTAATATTTGTAATTTGTCGTTGTTGTGATTGTACTCGAGTATTTTTTAATCCAAACGATATTATTTTAAATACTTAATTTTGTAAGTATTTGGATGTTTTTTCGTCTTTTCTTCACGTTTTATAATTTGAGATTTTTCTTCGTGATTAGGTCGTATACGAACGACCGCGACGCACGTGATACCATTAATTATATACACGTATAGCGCGTGTACATAAATCGATGGCAATGCAGTAATGATCAAACTGTTTAATTGGTGGTCTCTTTGTAACGGGTAATGGTTAACCCTAATAGTCAGCTGGCAATCGCGAATAGTATTCGACAAATCGTTATGTCGTTGTTCGTTCGGTTTGTAATTAAACGAACAAATAGCTATGGAAACACATATTCATGATTTTAACTTCTTGGTACTAAATTCAATAATAAATAACACTTAATTTCTATAACCACCAGTATGGTAGTTTAAAGAATTTTTCAATGCGGGAAAATCATATTTGATGAGAGGGTAAATACAGACATCGATTAAAGGCTACGTAATTTAAATAGATCACATAGGTTTTACAAAAGAAAATAATAATTTTATTTTAACGTATTGAGGATAACCTTGAACATCCCGTTGAACTTTCTTTTAGGGTATTCTCGTATGATGGATCCGTATTTTGTTTGAAAACATCGCAATCACAATCCGGGTTAGAAGTAATGCCCTATTTATGCATAATATTTCCCTTTCATCTATGGCCTATACGTATTCTATTTAGTGGGTCTGTTTGCTGGAAGGGTTCCTGATGCTTCGTCCTGTTTCTTTTCATTCATCTTTTTAACATTTTTTTTGCGTTATATTTATCATTTTTGAATTGAACAGCAGTTTCTCGCTGATCATTACAAAATTTAGAATATTCCATATAGTTAAAATCATTATTTACTATACTCGTATAAGTGTCAATAAATATTTTTTTTATCCTACCATCATTTTCACAACTAATTCAATACATATTATAAAATCGAATAAAAGACAATATTTAATCATTCCTATAAATTTGGTTGTATTATCCACATATATATTGTTTACTTATTAATGTACGTATTTTTAATGACCAAAACAATTGTGTGTTCCATTGTACAGTTCTTATTTTATTTTTTTTCTTACTGCTTTATGACTTTTTTAGTTGAGGACGAGTTATATGTATTAATTTTAATACATATATACGAATTACTTGCCGACCAGAGTAATCATCTATAAAATTGCTTTAAAAACAAAAAAATCGTTATGTTTACTGTTGTACCTTTAATCATGAAATTTAATTGGATTGCTTTCGTGGTGCACTGGAATAAAAATTAACAGTTAAATTGTTTTCTTTGTTACAACTATGCTTTTAAGTAATTTTTAACTAATTAATTATAAAACTTATAAGTAATAAAAAGTTGTTTGTTATTAATTATATTACCATTTTAATCCAAAATCAAAACGGAAAATTTTTCGTATTGTACG